CAAAAAAAAAAAAAAAAAGAAGGTATGGCCCCGGCCTGGGGAGGCATACAGCTTAGATGGAACAGTAATGTCCACAAAGTAGAATAACCAAACACACAAGGCAACTAGGGCAAAAGGGCATGTCGCACAGCAGAAAGACAGAGCTAACTCAATGAGGCCACTTCCACAGGGAAGAGAAATACTGCACTTCTCGCGGGGTAGGCTTCCAGGTTGAGCAATCAGTACACCCAAGGACAAGGACAAGCCAGTTGTGTACAAGGGTCAGGAAACAGACTTTGGCCTTGGACTCGGAAAGTGCCAGGGTTATGTAGGAGGCTGGCTGATGAGGGGACATTGTAGTCGGAGCAGCAGCTGGAGCCCACATGCGCCTACCATGAGCAGGTCCCTGCCCTCTGGCTCCAGACTGGGCACAATCTCTCCCAGTCCCTTCCTGGTCCACTTAGGGAAGTTGCCCTTATAGTCAGGCAGCTGGGTGACCCCGGGCCATGTGGCTTCGCTGGGTGTCCCCAGCATACGAAAGATACGAAAGAGCTGGTCAATCTCAGAGTCACCAGGAAACAGGGCTTTTCGAGTCACCTGAAATGGGGAAGAAGAGAAGGTGTGGGGTCTGCCACTTTGTTGTACAGAATCCAATACCAGATAAGTGGCCAGACCCAGGGAGAGGCCTGTCAAGATATCTTTCCCATGGTTGTGCAAAGAATTCTGGCCTCTTTTGGAAGAAGGCTACCTTCCTCAGTCCTTTAGCCAGTACCAAACAACTTTTTTTAAAAAATAGAGATGGAGTCTTGCTCTATAGCCCAGGCTAGAGTGCAGTGGTGCAATCACAGCTCACTGCAGCCTCCAGCACAGGCTCAAGCAATCCTCCTGCCTCAGGACTATAAGCATGCACCACCACACCCAGCTAATTTTTATATTTTTTTAAATGCTGGGGATTTGCTATGTTGCCCAGGCTGGTCTCAAACTCCTGGGCTCAAGCAATCCTCCCATCTCGGCTTCCCAAAGTGCTGGGATTACAGGCGTGAGCCACCATGCCTCAAACACTCTTTAATCCACCTCTAATGGAAGCATCAGTGGGCCCCACCCAACCCCAGGAGGACCCTGCCTGTGGCACCCTGTGGCCATGTGTGCCCCTCTCTCTACCATCTCTGCAAAGATGCAACCAATGCTCCAGATATCCACAGCTGTGGTATAGAACTTGCTGCCCAAGAGAATCTCGGGGGCGCGATACCACAGTGTCACCACCTGCAGGGCAAGGAAACAGCATCACTCAGGGTGGCTGAGTGCATGGGTGACACTCCTCCTGCTGCCCCTCTCTCCTCTTTGTCTCACAATACCTCGTGGGTGTAGGTGCGCAGGGGCACCCCGAAGGCTCGAGCCAGGCCGAAGTCAGCCAGCTTGATGGCACCCAACTCATTGATGAGCAGATTCTGGGGCTTCAGGTCTCGGTGGATGACCCGATGTGAGTGGCAGAAACTCACCCCCTGCAGCAACTGGAAGAGGTAGCTCTGGAGAAATGAGTGCGAGGTGGAGGCGGCTGAGTGGAGGCGCTGCGTGGACAGGGATGGCAGGGACGGGGTGTCACCGCTCCTTCCCCGCCCTTCCCTCCCTACCTTGATGAGGTGCAGGGGGAGCTCCGAGTCTGGGGTGGAGTCCATGTACTTCTTCAGGTCCTGGCTGAGGAACTCAAACACCAGATAAAGCTTCCTCTCGTTGTGCACCACGTCCAGCAGCCTGGCAGGAAGATGGCAGTCAGGATGCTACCTTCGCCATCCCAGCTTCCCCGCCTCCATCCCCAACTCACTGGACGATGTTGGGGTGCTTCAGTTCCTTGAGCAGGGAGATCTCCCTGATGGCAGTGCTTGGGACGCCCTCCATCTCCCTGCAAGAAACAAGGGCACACCCACGGGCAGAGACTTGGGCCAAGAAGGGCACTTCCGGCCAGGGGGATTGGCTTCTGCGTTCCTTATCCCCACAGAATTACCCAGGCCCCAGCAATGGAGACCTGTGCTCCTTGGCATGTCACCCACCAAGCTCCACAGAGCAGGGCCCCGGCGAAGGCTGGTCAGAAGACAGTGAGCTGGGGGAAGGATGGGGAAGGGCTGCCGGGCAGCACCCGGAGGAGTTAAGTGTGGACTCCAGGAAGGACGGAACGGATCAGGGAGCGCCCAGGTTGTGATGGCCCAGGGCGGGTAACTCAGGGGCGGTCCCAGCACTCACAAATCCAGTCTGATCTTCTTCAGGGCCACCAGCTGCCCTGTCTCCCTGTTCTTGGCCTTGTACACCACCCCGTAGGTGCCCTCTCCGATCTTCTCTACCTTCTGGAACACATCCATGGCCACGGAGCTGCCTGGGAAACAGAAGGCGCTGGGCCATTTGTGCCCCACGCCCAGCGCCCCTGTTGCTCCTCCAGCCTCCATGCGGCGCCCTGCCCAGCCCAG